GAGAGAGAGAGAGAGAGAGAGAGAGAAAGATTTCTCTCCTTGTTGGGATTAATATTTTCCTAGGATTTCAATTACTTCAAATTGAAATTATCTCTCTCTAACATTGATATCAACGTAAGAGAAGGCAAGAAAGAAAAAAAGAAAAAACAAACAAACAACACGAGATGCGAGTGCATTTTCGAAGTTTGACATTGGCGTCAGAGAAATTTGTGTGTTCACGCGGAGTATCGATCTGAGAGAGAGAGAGTGAGAGAGGGGAAGAGGAGAAAGAGGGGGGTAACTAAAGGGGTGATCACGAATCTCCCATTTCGTCCGCTTCCTACAGCCTGTCGTCCGAAAAAAGAAAAAAAACCAAAAAAAAAAAAAAATGGCCTTTGCCACAACGGTCGTGCCAGCCAACAGTACTTCCACTACCACCCTCACCACCACCCTCTCCACCCCCACCACCACCATCACCACCACCTACATCTCCATCTCCAGCTCGTACTCTGGTTCCACCGACGGCGTCCATCCCCTTATAAATATAACAATTAAGCGCAAGCGAAAGGGGTCGAGAACGGGCGCGTATCGAGGGAAGCAAAGGGAGGACACGACGAACGACCAGAGTGCCGGAACGTTTTGTTGCAGGGGCTGTCGCCCACCACTTACCGCACCACTACCTTTATACACGGTGGCACGAATAAAGTCTTATCAACTATTATATATTTTATCCTGTAAACAAATTTTGTTTTCTTTAAAATCATCATCGTTTATCTTTTATATTTTTTTTCAGTGAAATTTTTACAAACGCCGTTAACAATCATATTTTATAAAAAATGTCATGAAAATAGAGAGAGAGAGAGAAAATGTTAGATAGAAACCATGATTGAGATTATGGAAAGGTCTAGTGTTAAGTGTGTACGTATATGTATGCGTGCGTGAAATAGAATCAGTTTTTAATTACACATTAAAATAAGAATAATATATAACGTACACATTTGTATAAATTTAATAAAATTACATACAGATATATTATATCTATTCAAGATGAAAATTTGTAATCCAATCTTAATACTGACTAGGAACATTGAAAAGATTCTAAATATAAGTAGAGAGTATAAGAGTATTGGATATACCTTAAAAAATTATTAATTAATCGAAGAAAATGTATTTTATTATTTATAAGCACGGAATATAATAGTAAACATACCTTTCTCCTCGGTGTCTAACGTTAAACTGGTACGTTGTGTACACTATTGAAAGTTCTATTATTGAATGTTATTGTATGTTGTATGACACTATTTCAAAAGAATAAATTCCATTTATTACGTATATTATTTTCGTTATATACGTATGTGGCCTTCGGAAAGTCATATAAACTACAATCAATAAAAAAACTTTCATTGAGGACAAGTCTAACGAGGGATTTCGAAGCGGACGGTGCACCGAACATATACTCCGTGTTTTTATACAACAATACACATGTTATTCGATTAATTAACAATTATTTGAATATTCCATAATGTAATCCACACTTATATTACAGGAAAATTTTATCCTCGAAGTCATAACTGCGCCAGGAGCTTTAAAATAATTACATAAAAATGAAAAAAAAAAAATGCTTAAATTTTATTTATTAAGAATATTATACTCGTTATACACGTGTGCAATTATCTCGAAAGGTCATATAAATAATATTTAATAAAATAACTTTCATAGAGTACAACGTGCCAGTCTGAAAGTGAATTTTGAGGAAGACGATGCACCGAACATATACAACGTGTTTTCAGATAACAATATACATTCTTTTCGATAAATTAACAATCAATTCAAATATATTATCATTTAAGGGACATTCTCATTTTATAATATATACGAATCAATTGATTATTTTTCCATGCAATTAATACGAGTTTCATTTTTACTGGGGCGTCGAGGCCAACGCACGCACGTTCACTTTTTGATTATATATTTTTTTGTTTGTTTGTTTCAAATATACATTTAAAGCCGACATTGTTTGCGTTCGTGCATCGTTGGATTAACGATAAAAATTTAATGAAAATTAAGAAATAATTGATAATCGTGTGTATCGAAATAAATAAATAAATAAATAAATAAAAGACAAAAAAAAAAAGAAAGAAAGAAGAAGGGAATAAAATTGAAATGAATATTTTCTCTTATACGAGGGCATCTGATATTTTCTATGGTTCACCCTATATACTTAAAACATATATGTATTACGATTTACGTGCACGCATACATACGTTACGTATACGTCTCCCGCTTATGTTATGTCCTCCAGCAACTACCCTCTCATACGATGCAAAATAGAAAGGGGTAAGTTCGATCGTTTGGGGGCTCTCTCTCTTTCTCTCTCTATCTCTATCTCCCCGACTCTCTTTCTCCACTTTTCGGAGTATACAACCACTGATACGCTTCGCAAAGTTATAGAACACTAACGTCATATCTAAAAGTATGTCGTAGTTGTTATTGTCATAATTCGACGAAAATATTCATCAATAATTATTTTATTTGAATATTATTTCGTCGATATAATGTTATCCCATTTTTCGCGTGCATCGATATAAATAATCATAACATAATGTTTCGTATTATCGATTTTTCTATCATACAAATTGAAAGATTACTAAAATCGAATGAAACGAAATAGTATAAGTAAAAATTACATAAAAAAAAGAAAAGAAAAAGAAAAAGAAAAAGAATAGGTTTAAGCAAGTTGAGTGAATACAGTTGAAGGTAATGGGGGGTGGAGGGAGGTGAGGAGGAAGGTAGAAGAGACACTACTAGGACAAAAGATCGTTGAAACTTTAGGCCGCGACGTGGGAGTTTAATTCACGAAAGCGCCGAGACGAATTCAATTCGCGTAAGTTAACGCGTGACGAAACCGTCTCACTCTTCTCGTTCTTTTACATCATGGTGATGGTAGTCGTAGTCGTAATCGTAGTCGTAGTTGGACGACCTAGGTCATAACTATTTAAATGCTCGCTGCTGGATAAATTGTTGTATTAGTCACGGCAAGTTTATATTAATACATTCTTCCCCATCTCTTTTATACTATCTTTCTTTCTTTCTTTCTTTATCTCACTATCTTTATATCTGTCTCTTTATTTTCCTTTCATTTTCTAGCACGCTTCGTCATTTCCTAGCTTAGAAACCTTCCATTCGACGACTAAATTCGTCATACCAAATAATATATCAAATATTCTTCAAATATTACAGCGAAACTATGAAAAATATTCTCAACAAATTGATACAAAATTTTATCGGAATTTTGTTAATCGAAGGAAAAATGTTATATCATTTTATTAAGCCCCCTATTTTACTTTTTTACCCTTTCTTTTTTTATCTTGATATTATATATATATACTCCTTTTTTTTTGATTCGTATATTTTAATAATATAAAATATATTACAAAAATTCTAATATCTTTTTTTTCATTCCTATCTCAAAGGAATGCTATCTCCTTCCCCCCCCTCCCATCTGATCTCACCCCTATCCTCTTTGTGTTTATTATCGTATTTTATTATTTTTTTATTATCAAACGAATTGAATAGAATAATTGAAAAGTATAAAGAATAGATCATTTAAAATATTACATTATTGTTGGAATTGATTGTATAAAAGGAATGGGATTTTTCTCGAGAAATATTTAAACGATCGATCATTTGCGAGAAATCTTCAAAGCTTTCATTGACAAATCTATTTCTGACAACGACGATGACGATTACCACGATGACAAGAATAAAACGTATATAATATACGTATATAATTATACGTACGCTTATATGCTTGTAAAGATATCGGGAACATAGTTTCTGATGTAATACATACTTTGTAACAGAGGTCTCGCACTTGTAATTTCTTCGCTGACAACATCCGCTATTTTTGTCGACGCCAAACGAGCCGCAAGAATGCAACGAGAACACAACACACACAACACACACAGTGTTGTATTTCTTTATTATTAATATTATTATTATATTAATAATAATTTCCAATCCCCTAATATATTCATAAATTTTGTCGAAGAAAACAATTAACGACGCGATTTGTTAGAAATAACAAATAATTCTAATTTGTTACCTTATCATCGATGAAAAATTTATCGTTAAAGTAAAACCGATCATCTCGATTTCATTAATTTTAATAAAAAAAAAAAAAAAAAAAAAAAAAAAAAAAAAAAAGATTAACTTTCTAACATATTTTTTTCTATTTTAATGAATTTAAATCGATTCGAAAAATGTGAGAGTGAGAGTGAAAGAGAGAGAAAGATNTCCCCTAATATATTCATAAATTTTGTCGAAGAAAACAATTAACGACGCGATTTGTTAGAAATAACAAATAATTCTAATTTGTTACCTTATCATCGCTGAGCCATGGTCCGGTCACACCTTGACTAAATGCAGCTGCTAAACATAATTGATAAAAAAAAAAAAAAAAAAAAAAAAAAAAAAAATAAAAAAGATTAACTTTCTAACATATTTTTTTCTATTTTAATGAATTTAAATCGATTCGAAAAATGTGAGAGTGAGAGTGAAAGAGAGAGAAAGATAAAGATAAAGAAAAAAAAGCCTTTATACTTGAACTCGTACGTGGATATGAACGATGTTAAAAGATTGTAAGTACTTCCAAGGGCCTTCTTACAGGTTCCCCACCCTTTTTCTTTCTCATTGGAAAGAAGGAGAAGGTCGTTCGGGTCCCTTGAAAATGGAGTTTCCTTAAGTGGTAGAGAAAATCGATGCACGATTCGAGCACTAGCTAGCTACGAAGAGTAGAAGAAGTAAAAGGAGGGTGTGGAGGAGGGTTTACCGACCGCTCGTTACCTTCATAGGTGGAATCAAGGCAAACTTTCAGTTCAAAATTGCAACCTGCGTACTCCTATATCACCCTGTTGCTCTTCTATTCTCTCTCTCTCTCTCTCTCTCTCTCTCTCTCTCTCTCTCTTTTTCTTTCTCTTTCTTTCTCTCTCTTATCTTCTTTCAATGTCCTAACTGCTCACCTATAAGTTAGATGTTTTCGTACGCCTTCGATATCTCGCTTCTTCCTGACAAGGTACGTTGCACTCGTTGAAATCCATTCTTCGTTTTTTTGGGGTGATCCTCCGTGTGCCTTTTCGAAAAACTACAAAAAGAAAAAAATATTAGTTAATCGAAAGAGAGATGCATCGATTATAAATATTTATTTTCATTATATTATTATATATATATATATATTTATTATTTTTATATTTATATATTTTTTTTAAATTTTGATCTATAATTTAGAAAAAAAATATCTATCATTCTTCTTACATATTTCAACGTAATATTTAAAAATGAATCACAATTATAAAGAATAATATATAATTGATATTTTTTCTATAAGATCACGCGAATATGAGAATCAACGAAAATATTTCAATACCCCTTTTGTCGATCGAATATTTTATACGGATGATTTTCGAGAAACAAAAAGAAAGAGAGAGAGAGAGTTCTAACGAATTGCTTTACAGTTTGAGAAAGTTTAGTTAGAAAAAGAAAAGAGATACGAGAGAGATAGAAATCGAGAAAGAAAGAAAGACAGAGAGAGAGAGAGAGAGAGAAATAGAAGCGACGATAAACGGTGATGAGGAGAAGGAAGATAGGGAAAAGGAACGGGAGTGAGGAGGGGCGGGGGCTGGAGAGGAGGAGGAGGAGGTAGCGATGGTTACAGCAGAATAAACCCCTCAATAATGAGTTCCGCAAGTGAATTCCGGTGCGGAGAGGCTCGAGATAATAAAACAGAGCGGCCGGTACGCCGGTGTGCCACTACACCAACGTTGACGTTGATCTGAGCTGGTGCTTCGTGAATGAGATAGTGTGCACGTAATAACGTAACTATGTGTGTCTGTATATATTATATATATTCTGTATATTCATATATATATATATATATATATTATATAGTTCGTACGTATGAGTGTTTATGTTCGTGTGTATATCTATACGTCTGTCAGTCTGTATGACTATGTCTATGTGTATATGAGCGTGCGTGGGTGTGGGTGTGTTTGCCCGTGTATATACGTGAGAGTACCACCGTACCGGCAAGAGTAATAGTAAGAGGCAATAAAATATAATGAAATAACATCCAATCCAAGAGAGATATTGTGAAAATATTATTACTAACTTATTACTCGCTGGGTTCGGTGCAGCACGCTCTCTTTTTCTATTTCTATCCATCTATCTCTCTCTTTCTCTCGCGTTTTCTTTCTCTCTTTCGTTCTTTCTCCCAAAGCTTTTTCTTCCTTTTTACCAACCCCCTACACCACCGTACTCTCATCCACCCGACCTCGACCCGAACTCGTCCTTTCCAACCCACCATTCGGGGTTGGGTACTCCTTTCTTGTATTTCTATATTCCTCTCTCTCTCTCTCTCTCATTCACTCACTCACTCTTCATCTGCTCACACTCTCATAAGTTTTTCTATTTATTTATCTCTCTTTCTCTCGCACAATGTCCAGTTTTTATTCGAACGTTTCCTCCCTCCCCCACGCCTCGATCTACGTTTCTAACGCATCAGATTTTTGACTATTAACGTTTTCGCATATCGTTTATCTAACACTTGCTACGTTACTTGTAGATCTTTTACACCTTTCTCCCTCTCTCTCTCTCTTTCTACCATATCGACCCGATAGGGGGAGTCGGAACTTGATTTTTGACAGAGAGAAGTTATTACGGGAAGATAAAAGGAAGAAAAAATAAAATAAAAATTTGCGTTAAAGTGGGCCCGTATAAAATAAAGATAAATATATTAGTCGCGCTGATAAGAATCTTCTATTTCCTCAAGGGAATTCCCTTTTCCGTGCTGGCAATAAGATAATATCAACTTACTGAAATTAAATAATAAAATGATAAGATAATAAACGGATAGAGAATCACAAATAAGAATTAAGAATGAAGAATAAGGGACGTGAAGAAATTGGATCGGTAAGAATCGTTAAGGGAAGAATAAGAAGAATAAGAAGAAGCATCATCGGTTGCATTGGTTGCATCGGTTGCATAGCATTCGCCTTCGGAGGCGCAGCACCGTACGTACGATTTGCGATCGATCGAGCACGGCCCGTCGGCGTATTTGAAATGCAAAGTACGTGCCGAGCATTATCTTCCAGGAAAGACTGGGCGGTGGAATAAAAAAAAAAACAAAGGAAAAGAAAAATAAAAAAAGAAGCAGAAGAAGAAGAAAAAAAAGAAAAAGAAAAACAGAAAAAAAAAGAAAAAATTATTACGGCCAGAGAGATCGCGATACGTGGTGACGAAAGACGGTTATATAAAGGACGGATACGTATGTGCACACGTACGTAAACACACAGACACATATATAAATATACGTAACACGTATCTACACATATTATATATATATAT